GCAGTGGTAGAGGCCGGAACGGGGCTTACTACCGGAGGAAATCTGGACGCTCGATTGGCCTAGGCCATCTCCTGTCCTGTGCAAACTGACTGACTGACTGACTGACTGACCTGACCTGACCTGACTTCAAGACTTCAAGGTCATGGCGAGCCGCGCTACTTAGGTCAACCAATAGCGATTCGCGTTGGGTAACACGCCTCATCCTGGCCGTTTCATATATAATTGTTTCTCGCCCTAAAAATGACAATATTGTGCCGTCTATTCAATCCCGTATGTTTTGGATGTATAAATTTTCTTATCATACCTTAGGGCAAACAGATCAGATTCGTCGTTATATCTGCCAGACGTAACAAGGTATGCTTCCGCTACTTTTTGGCTCTAAATTATTCCCCAAACTTTATTATCTGTAGGTATCAATGAGCAGATTTGACAAGAAAGAACTGGATTATTCGAAGCTCTCCAAAAACCTTGAAATTGTCAAAAAGAGGTTCGCGTGCACAATATTTTTTTATACTCATCATCTAGGTTGAATCGACCACTTACACTGGCAGAAAAAATACTCTATGCTCACTTGGATAATCCTCAGAATGCTGTAAATTCAGTTTTCCTAATTTAATGTTTTTCAAGGTGATCGAAAAAGGTCGGAGTTACCTTAATCTCCGTCCAGATCGTGTGACCATGCAAGATGCAACTGCACAAATGGCTATTTTGCAGTTTATCAGCAGCGGTCTTCCGAAAGTCGCGGTCCCAACTACAGTACATTGTGATCATCTTATAGAAGCGCGTGACGGAGCCAGTCCAGATCTTGACAGGGCTACTGATGCTAATAAAGAGGTGTATGACTTCCTATCAACAGCCTCCTCGAAGTATGGCATTGGCTTTTGGAAGCCTGGTTCTGGAATTATTCACCAAGTACGCACATTAAACTTAACACGCTCGGGATAAAAATGTTGCAGTGCATTGATTTTCTGGTAATTTTTTCATGGATGTAGCAACTGCTGTCTACTTCCAAGGCATGACTGCTTCCCTATTTATTTATGGTTTGTGCTGGAAACCGTTTGATCTTGAATTCATATTTTTTCACTCCATCAGCAGTCATTTGTTTGTGATGGTGCGGTGGTTTAGTCGCTGTCACCGATGCTTTAGACCCTATGGTTGCGGTTCGATCTCCGCCACTGCCACCCAACTTCGGTGGTAGGCAGCTTTGCTGTCGTCCGGTTCATTATCACACCTAATCTGACGGGGGCCTTATGTGGTTCACCACTCCAAGTTCCAGGGCTTCAGTTACAGGATTCCATGGATGAATATCAAGTTTTCGTGGCTATGGAACCCACCCTGTTCTCACAAAAATGTGATAAAAATATATCAAAGACCGATCCACTCATACCGAAAACTTTCGGTCATTTATTCTTGATAAGACCGTGATTTCAGTGTTTACTATGGAACGGCAATATTAAACCGACCACGCTATGCTTCACTTAGCTGATCAGATTTTGGTAAAATTTCAGTACTTCCGCACCGAATGACATGGCTGGGTGTCGCAAACAGTGGCGTTCACACATCTACTCATTGTTCTTGCAACTTCAGTCTATATAAATTCCCTATCTGCCGCTTGAGTTCACTCTCAGCGTTCCAACTTTCATTTTGTCCTTTTGTCCAAATGGAAGACCAAAAGATAACCAAAACCGGCGCATTCAAGTGCATAGTTAATGGTTGTAAAAACCAAAACTGAAAAACTTCCACATAGCTTTGTCCAGTTTCACTTTATCATTCGCCTCGTTCATCACAGGGATTTTTCGCCATCATTGACAAGCGGCAGACCATTTGACTTTATCTTACGGAGTGTCAGCACATACCTCCTAATGCGCTCATTGTTCTCAGACGGAATTGGAACTGCATTTCTGAGCCAGTCTCCGTATGATGCGTCTGGTGTAGAAAAAGTCACCTCTCATGCGTCCGTTTGTCATGAAAATCAACCCCGTGTCCATCAGACAGTCTGCAACGCAGTTTAACTCAATATCACGACGATTCGCGCGACAGCCCTTTTCACTCTCCGATGGGGCAATTTCAGTAACCATAGAGAGATATATCGTCACATTCCAATTGAGAGCGAACAGGGCAGATCACCAACCTGAAAGCACTCCGGGGTAATGGACCGAACGAACTGTTATTTGCCTCTAACATGATCTAGACGGAAATCCTACTTGGGAATGGTGTTTATACTCGATTCATCCTAAGGAGAGGAGGCCCACTCAGTGTTCCAAACCTGTAGCTTGCTCAGTGTTAAATTGATAAAAACAGTTTAATTTCTGCAGCTCAGGAAAATGTGACTAGCTATTTCTGAAGTGTTGAACGCATGCGGTCGTCCTCTTTTTCAGAATCTTCCATAACTAGGTCTTTGCAAACAATAGGTTTGTAATACTTGGTCATCTTCCTACGATTTGCACTTGATTAATGGTTAAGCCGACCATCATTTACTAGCAATGATCCTAGTAATAGTGCAACTTGATGTTCCCGAATGGCTATATGCCAAGGCGCAGGCCTCCTTCATGTGGTGCTATACTTCTTTTCCTTTGCTTGTGTGCACGTTCATTTAAACCCGGTCACAATCAATTTTTCCTCTCATCATGGAACTTTCTCTTTTATATTAAGTTTATTGTACTATGGTTTGTTTGGCACAGTCTGGACTCAAATGTTTGTGAGATACATACCATATTTAATCATCATACGCTGATCTAATCAATACCTTATTCGGTAATAAGTTAAACTTAACGAACTGTCTTTTGTTTGATTTCCAATTTTTAGATTATGCTGGAAAATTATGCATTCCCTGGAGCACTTATAATTGGTACCGATAGTCACACACCCAATGGTGGTGGTCTAGGCGGATTGTGTATTGGCGTGGGTGGTGCCGATGCTGTCGACGTGATGGCTAATTTGCCATGGGAACTCAAGGCCCCAACTATTATCGGTGTCAATTTGACTGGAAAATTGTCTGGTTGGACAAGCGCCAAGGATGTTATTCTGAAGGTAAGTGCAGCATATAGCGTATGCTAAGACGATCCACTGTACCCATCAGTGTTATTGTTTTCCCAAATAAGTGGCCATTACCCATCAAACTTTGCTGGTTTGGAACCGTAGTCAGAAGCGGACCGTTCAGTGCATTACTTCTACCGGTTCGTTGTAAATTCTGAGCCCGGTTCACCAGAACTATAAAATTTCATGCGAGTTTGGTGCAAGGAACGTTCGAACGTCACCTACCTTTCTCAGGATCCTACTACTCTAAGGCACTTGAGCGCTCCAGATTTGTCGACGAGATCGTTCTTCGCACATCAGGCGACGATGAAGCTCGTTCAGTAGGTCAGCGCGGGGTAGGTATTGTACTCCGTAATAGGGCGGAGTCCTCTCTTATCGATTGGATCCCCGTCAACAGTCGTTTATGTGCAGTGCGTCTCCAGGATTCAATCAGCGTCCGGAAGGGAAGCAACACTAAAAGGTGTTTGTTTATCGTATCAGCATATGCACCGACCAATTGCAGTTCTAATACGATGAACTCACCGATCTCATTCGGATGAGTCGAAGCTCCGACATAGTTGTACTTGCAGGTGACTTCAACGCGCAAGTTGGAAAACTGAGCGCATCAGAAGCTTACCTAGGAGGTAGTTATGCTCTGTCCTGTCATCGAACAGATAACGGTGATCGACTTATTCAGTTCTGCGCAGACCATTTGTTCCTATCAAGCACCAACTTCCGACATAGCTCTCAACGGACGGCAACGTGGCACTCCAGTTCAACTGGTACGCTAACTCAAATCGACCACATCTCAGTAAGTTACCGTTGGCGTGGCTCAGTGCAAAATTGCAGGTCTTATTGGACCACCTGCTTTGAGTCTGACCACGCATTGGTTCTGATGCAGTTCACTCTCCGACTGACCGTTCGGCGACAAAACCAGCAAGCTCGGATAGCTCATCAACAGCTATCTGCTCCAGCCGTTCGTTCACGCTAT